CCCTGTTCCCTCTCCCCACTCCCCAGACTCAGAAACCTGTTCCCACTGGCACCCTGTCCCCTGTCTCCCAAGTGCCCTGTTCCCTCTCCCCTGTCCCCAGCTGCAGAACTCTGTCCCCACTGCACCCTGTCCCCTGCCAAAGCACCCACTAGCACCCTTCCCCAGTACTATGTCCCCTGCTCCCACCAACACAGTTAGGGCCACGTTAGTGAAGTTTAGGGGGGCGGGTTGAAGGAGGTTTTTTTTGCATCTCACTTGTGTGGCCCCAATGGACTTTTCTGTGGGTCAGTGACCCCGACTCAAAACAGGTTCCCTGCCCTTCTCAGAAATAAAAACAATGCAGAAACTTTTTGTTTGACATAGTATTTTATTTGAAAATGAAGCCTGGTCAACAAACCCCCAGTTGGGGCCAAGTCCCCATCTGGCCACAACTGCATAACACTCCTGCACTCCCCTTTCCCCCAGACCCTACATGTGACCCTATCATACACTGGAACATCCTGCCCTGAGCCCCTCACATATCCCAACCCAAATTCCTGAACCCTCACATCCAAAAGTCTGTGACTTGCTTAGTACCCTAACCCTACATCTGACCCCAACACTGCCCGGCCTGGAGCCCCCTCCCCGAGCCACTGTCCCCTTATCCACCTCCTCCTGCATCCAGATTTCCTCCTAGAGCTTGCACCTCTCACCCCTTCCCACACCCAAATCCCTCATCCCCACCCTGGAGCCTACACATCCTGTCTCAACCCAGTGAGGGTCCGGCTAGACTGCAGGAGTTCTTCAGGATTCCGGAGATATCCCAGAAAAACTCTTCTGCATCCAGGGATGCGTTTGTTCTTCCACTTCTTTTAGTGGAAGAGCAAACATGATCTTTCGGTCACCCCTATATTCCTCTTTCCACGAGGAATAAGGGAGCTTCCAAAAGAAGGGGTTTTTCTGACAGTTGGTCCAGTCTAGATAGACCAAATGTTGGAAAAACTTCGTCCTACAGAAGAATTGGGGAAAAAAGCAGCAGTATAAGGGTTGGGGATAGCAAGTGATGGAGAGGAGGAGAATAGAGAGGGTGGGGCTTCAAGGAATGGGTGGAGCTTCAAGGAAGGGGCGGAGTGGGTAGATCTTGGCTTGTTCTGTCATTTAAAAAGTGATCTTGGGTGTAAAAAGGTTGGAGACCACTGCTCTAGACCTTTAATCGTTCTTGTTGCTCTTCTCTGGACCCTCTCCAATTTCTCCACATCTTTCTTGAAATGCGGTGCCCAGAACTGGACACAATACTCCAACTGAGGCCTAACCAGTGCAGAGTAGAGCGGAAGAATGACTTCTTGTCTCTTGCTCACAACACACCTGTTAATGCATCCCAGAATCATGTTTGCTTTCTTTGCAACAGCATCACACTGTTGACTCATATTTAGCTTGTGGTCCACTATAACTCCTAGATCCCTTTCTGCCTTTCTGTCTACATTGTCCATTCTTGCGCAATGCAGTTATTCCTGAAAATAATTGGCGTAACGGCATTGCTTGAGTGAGAGCGTCCAGATTGCCTGGGTGTTCTTTTTTGAAAAAGCAGATCACTTTGTCGAAAGTCTGGGGGCTGTCTAGACCAGTGCTTCCCAAACCTTTCAGCATCATGCCCCCCTTTCTGATTTTTGAAGAGCCCTCATGCCCCCCCCTCCAAAAAAAAACTTGAGCAAAAAAAAAATAGGAACTGAGTGGGGCAGCAAAACTTGATGGGGGTGGGGCTGGGTCGCCGCGCACCCCCTTGGAATTTCTTTATGCCCCCCCTCAGAGGGGCACGCCCCCCAGTTTGGGAACCCATGGTCTAGATGATCTCTTTCGAAAGAGGCTTATAGTGTTGACATACCCTAAGTGACAAAGTCCGTATATTATACACACCAAAAAAAGCTGTTATCAATCGTGAGGCTGAACAGCCTGCACAGCTCTGTTTGCTAAAACAATCTCCCCCCTGGTAACTGGATAATCATTTCTTCACCCCCAGGGGAGGCTCCCTAGTTGTGCTTCCGCAGGGTCTATTTTCTGCCCGCTGCTCCCAGAGTCAAGGGAATGGTCGGGGCATCCTGCCAACCTGAGAGCACGTAGGGCCTGTGAAGGAGAGCTATAAAGGTTGCTGTGCAGCACACTGCGTCTCAGACAGGTGACATTCCTATGCGGATTCCCAGGGCTCTGCTTTCATGTCGCTGTGAGGAGATTTCCCCTCTCTGCTTCACGTCATTTCTGTGAGTTGCTTCTTTCTGCTTTAGAGTTAGTGCCAATGGCTCAGAGAGGCTTCCCGTGTCTAAGGAAAGAGCCATCTGGGCAGAAGTGTAGTGCTTTCAGAGACGCCCAGGCATTTATGTGGTAAAATTAAATCTACAATCCATCGGAAATAATTTAGACGTAATTTTTGTCGTATCAGTTGCTTGTCCCTGCTGTGTCTTTTGCTTTGCCTGAGTAACTTCCTTTTTTTTTTTTTTTTGGACGGTGTGGCTTTTCATTTGAGTTTGCTCATTTTCTCTCAGGCTATATCTACATGATAGAGTTTTTCTGGGATACCTTTGGTATCCCGGAAAAACTCTGCTGCGTCCAGGGAATGCAGCTGCTTTTTTGGAACAGTGTCCGAAAAAGTGGGCACATTCTTTCGGCATCCCTGTATTCCTCATTTTCTGAGGAATAAGGGCTCTTCTGAAAGAAGAGGTTTTTCCCACATTTGGCCATGTGTAGACGGGCCAAATATTGGAAAAACCTCTTCCAAAAAAAGAATTGGAAAATGGCATCTTTTTTCCGAAAGATAACTGCAGTGTAGACATAGCCTCATTCAGCAACTTCAGGGTGCATCTATACTACAGCCTATCTCATAGACTCATAGACTTTAAGGTCAGAAGGGACCATTTTGATCATCTAGTCTGACCCCCTGCACAGTGCAGGCCACAGAATCTCACCCACCCACTTCTAGAATAATCCTCTCACCTATATCTCAGATATTGAAGTCCTTAAACGATGGTTCAAAGACCCCAAGATGCAGAGAATCCTCCTGCTAGTGACCCATGCCCCATGCTACAGAGGAAGGCAAAAAACCTCCAGGGCCTCTGCCAATCTACCCTGGAGGAAAATTCCTTCCCGACCCCAAATATGGCGATCAGCTGAACCCTGAGCATGTGGGCAAGACTCACAAGCCAGACACCCAGAAAAAAGTTCTCTATAGCATCTCGAAATAAGATAAGTAACTTGAGCCACACAAATTGCGTGTCTTATTTTGATGCTATTTAAATAGCTTATTTTGTCATTTGGTGCTGTCTACATAGTGCCAAATTTTGAAATAAAGCGCTATTCCAAAACGTGCCTTACTCCTCGTAGAATGAAGTTTACGGGAACGTTGGAATAGCCAGCCTGAAATAACAGGCTTGCCGTGAAGATGCGGGATAGCTATTTCAGGATATGCTAGTATCCTGAAATAGCATTGCAGTGTAGATGTAGCCACACTGGCCAGGTAGACACGACAGGAAAAACCTCTGCAGTGGGTGTCTGTGACCAGAGGGTTGACAGCAAGAATGGGTTGCACATGGGCCAGGTTCTGCTCTCACAATCTGCCTCCACCCGGTCAGGCCACCTTGACACTGTCCTCCCAGAGAATAAAATCAGGCCCATGTTTCGAAACCTCTGTGGTTCATAACCAGTCTCAGAATGTCACATGAACTCGGTGTGTCCCCCTGTCTCTTTCAGCCCTTTCACAGAATACCGCTGTCAAGGACAAGGAGTAATGGTCTCAAGTTGCAGTGGGGGAGGTCTAGGTTGGATATTAGGAAAAACTATTCCCCTGGGAGGGTGGGGAAGTGCTGGAATGGATTCTCTAGGAAGGGGGTGGAATCTCCATCTCCAGATGTTTTTAAGTCTTGGCTTGACCAAGCCCTGGCTGGGATGATTAAGTTGGGATTGGTTCTGCCTTGGGCAGCGGGCTGGACTCGATGACCTCCTGAGGTCTCTTCCAGTCCTAGGATTCTATGATTCTATGACTCTAACCAGCCACAACCTCCAACCACGTGGCTTCAGCCCTAGCCGGGGCTGCCCAAGCAACCACCACCTCCATCTACACAGACCCGGCAGCTGGGCCTCAGCCATTCACATGCCTGGGGGCCCCCCCGCGCAGGCCCAGCCTCACCGTGTCCTGGCTCCAGCTGAAGCAAACAGGGGCAAGGCAGCCACCTTCTGTCACATGGCCCCATCAGGGGTCCACCGCCACTCAACTTCTGGTCCAGCAGGAAAGTAAGCGGTGAGCTCTGCAAGCGAAGTTGGTGGGCCTAAAAAGTTTTGTGTGAGGCCGTACAGGTGCGCAGCATAGAGGCAACACTGGTGTAGAAGAGGCTGAAACATTGACTAAATTGGGGCAATTATCTGTAGGATTCTCTATCCAACTCCTCCTGAATCCAAATGTTTTCCTAGTTTCTTTCCATGCTTGCTTTGGAAGCTGTGGACCACGATGCCTGCTTCCCTGCCCTGAGTTCACACAGTTAAATTTTATCCCTGTTCATTGTTTGAAGCCTTCAAGTGTTTCCCTCTAAAGGGCAAGGCTACTCCACACGCGGCCCACAGGCCCGTTTGATTGTGGGCTGTGGGTGGGAGCCAAAACAAAAAAGTAGTCAATAGAATGGTCTTCTGTTGACATGAGTTTTAGTAGTTACATTCCTGGACTGTCGTTGCTCATTAAAAGTGCTGTCTTATGGGTAGAAATCGAGTAACTATTGCATTTTATTAATATCAGCAGAACTGATTTAAATGGGGCCTATGTGGTGTATAGTCTTGCCTTAATCTTTGTATTCATGCCCATCAGTGTGAAATAAGCTATTTGCATATATTTGAATATAGATTTGCATGAGTATGCAACCACACTTAAGTTGTGACCCTCGGCATGTGCTGTGACTATCATTGTGGCCCCTGAGGCTTCCAAAGTTGAGTAGCCCTGGAATGCACATTGAAGTTGCATGTTCCTTTGCCATCATGCTTGGCTTGAGTCACTTCTTCTCATGACTTCACTAGATTAGACTATTCTCTAAATCGTCTGGTGCCATCTGGAAATCCTGCCACATCACTATGCAGCCCCATTTCTGCCACTTTTTTTTTTTTACTATGAAGTGCATAATCACCTCAGTGGTTTTCTCTCTCTTCACAGGCACCTTCAGCACTTCTGAGACTCATTGATGCATCAGCGACTACATGGCAGATTTCAATCTCACCCCATCTGACACGTCGACATTTTTCCTGGTGGGCATCCCTGGCCTAGAATTTGCCCACCTCTGGATTTCCATCCCTTTTGCTACATGCTACATTGTTGGCCTGTTTGCAAATTCCAGCATTCTGTTCGTTGTAAGGAAAGAGCAGACCCTGCACAAGCCAATGTATCTGCTCATCTGCATGCTGGCGCTCACCGACATCGGCATGTCCACCTCTGTCATGCCAAAGACACTGTCAATCTTTTGGTTCAATCTGAATGGCATTACGTTGGATGGCTGCCTTGCCCAGATGTTCTTTTTTCAAGCGATTTCTATTGTGCACTCAGCCATCCTGGTGACCATGGCCTTCGATCGCTACGTGGCCATATGTAACCCTCTGAGATACCCCACCATCCTCACCAACGCACGAACCGCTAAGCTAGGGCTAGTGGGAGTGTTCAGAGCTATTCTCTTCTTTCTTCCTCTGCCCCTACTCCTGAGGAGGCTGCCTTTCTGTGACAACCGCATTATCCACCACACGTTCTGTGACCACATGGCTGTGGCAAAGTTGTCATGTGGGGACATCACAATAAACAGAATTTACGGCATGGTGCTGGCCCTTTTCATCATTGGGTGTGATCTGATGCTCATTGGTCTGTCCTATGGTTTGATCATCAGGGCCCTCTTCCGAATCTCCTCCAAGAAAGCTCACCAGAAAGCCCTCAATACCTGCACCGCCCACATCCTCGTTATATTGATGTCTTATCCTCCTGGCCTCTTTGCCTCTCTGTCATACCGATTCAGCCAGGGCGTCGCTCCCCATGTTCACATCATTTTCTCAAACATCTACTTTGTCACCCCCCCCATGTTCAACCCCATTGTTTATGGAGTGAATACCAAGGAGCTTCGTGAGAAACTGGTCAAATATATCTGCAGAATGTGATCCCAGAGGGCCCCTGAATGTCAAGCTGCATAACAAGGGGGGGAAGTTCACATTCTGACAACTCACACCTGATCGTAGTATCACCAAAAGACTGCTCTCCCCTTTGCCAAATTCCCTCTCACGTCATCATCTGATCGCTTTCAGCCTTATCCATCACTAGGTCTTTTCATGACTATGAGTAAAAACTCCAGTTTTCTGCAGGAAAGCAGCTTTTCAATATACCCTATGTAAACAGGGGTTTTGATCAGCTCAACAAACTGAATCTATGATTCTGCTAGCCAAAAACAAGCAAGGAACTGCATTACGCAACATCTTTATCTTAAGCACAGTGATCCGGTGAACACATTTTACCTCATTTTTTCTATGCCCAATATTTCAGGAAGCCTGGAGAAGAAACCAGGAAATGGAATGGCTCAGTTGGGAAGTTATAATACAGGTTGAACCTATCTATTCCGGCACTCTGTGGTCCTGAAATGTTCATGGTGCAGCATGATTTTAGTTAGCCAGCTGTCCACTTTTCATGGGTGTGGCCAAGTGTCCCATGGTCCCATTAAGATTGTTTAAAGCCACTCGTACTAGCTCTGTGTTTGTTCTGTGCTGTTATTTAGCTCTAATTTACCCCTAACTATCCTCTAGCATCCCAGTAAACAGCGGCAGTGCTGTTAATGATGCTAGACAATATTGGCCTCCCATGGTTCAGAAAATTCTCTGGTTCGGAATTTGTCACGTCCCAAGGGTGCCAGACTAGAAAGGTTCACCTGTATAAGAAAGCTGCTGCAGGAATGGAGGATATTCCACTAAACTGTATTGATGAGTGTTGGGATCACTATTGTCATACTCAGAACAACCAAGCGTGAACATTTCTGGGTGAAGGTCTCCAACATATGTATGCTGCTAGGGGGGAAATACATTCGTGAACTTGGCTTCTTCGCTTTTTCATTGCTATTGCTACCTTTTAGCAATGCTGTCACTGGAACATGATTTTCTCAGATGAACTGGAAAAAACCCCAAAACTGCATAAAAAGATGCAAGAGGAATTTTCTGGAAAATATTCAAAATGTTAGGGTCTATGTGCAACAAGACAAAATCGGCTATGAAGCGTTTGCACCAAGGAAAGAAATGACTGCACAGGTGACCGCTGATAGGCACGACCAGCATCAGAAATATTCTACCATGGAGGATGACAGCAAGGATGAAATGTTGCCTCCTAGGCACAGAAAAAAAAACCCAACCCTAATTCACCTCAAAAGATGGACATTGACTACCATCGCTGAATGCAATTAGGAATAAATAATATAGAAATGATCTTGCGTTTTGACACTACATTACTTCTGGGCTACGTTGGGGCTATTTATAATAATGTTATTCACCATCATTTGTTGGAAACACATGCCAACCCTCAATCAGTTCCTTTTTGAGTAAATGAAGGACAAAACTGCGTGACTCCTCTGTGAGGACTGAAGCGAACTTCTTAGTTTTGAACGTCTGAGTGCAAAACCAGAAAGATGTACGAGACTTTAAGGGTCTATTGCAATGTGAGATACGGACCAGCCTTGGAGGCAAGAACTCACTAGGACCAATTAATATATACAAAGCATTTCCGCTATTCCATATAACGATCTTATGGGAACATAGCCGAGTCGGCTAGGACCAACCAGTTAAATGTCTGAGGTGTGTGTTTTAGTCAAGAGTTCTTTCTAAGCAAGGTTTGGCTGTAGTTAACATTCATTTTTTTGTTTTTTGGAAGCTTAAAAGTGTTTGGTTTTTTTTTTTTTATTATTGGAAATCTGTTTAATATGTATTTATGTTCTGTATTATTTTGTCTTTTTTAATTAATGAAGTAATTTTTGTGCAAAAAGTAGAATTTTTAAAAAATTTAAAGATGGGTCAGAGGGGGATATAAAATTAGTACATTTCTATTTTCAGTTAAAGATGATGAGTATTTCTTAAATAAAAAAAATTAAGCCAATCATGGTAAACCAAGCCAGGCCTGTGCGCCTGAAGATGTGACAGAATTGTGGCAATGCTGGTTAACAAAGTTTTCTGGTTAACAGAGTGCCGGATAACAAAGGTTTTACTGTATTGGGATTTTGATTTTGAATTTCATTGTCATCTCATAGCTTTTTTGCTAACGTGGACAAAATGCAGATGGCAACCAAAGCTTTCATTCATATAAGGAGGAGGGAGAAAAAATATTTTCCTTGGCTTCTGAGGATAGGACACGATGCAATGGGCTTAAACTGAAGCAAGGGAGGTTTAGGTTGGACATTAGGAAAAAATTCCTAACTGTCAGGGTGGTCAAATATTGGAATAAATTGCCAAGGGAGGTGGTGGAATCTCCCTCTCTGGAGATATTTAAGAACAGGTTAGATAGACATCTGTCAGGGATGGTGTAGACGGAGCTTGATCCTGCCTTGAGGGCGGGGGGCTGGACTCGATGACCTCTTGAGGTCCCTTCCAGTCCTAGTGTTCTATGATTCTTCCTGGATATAGAGACCAAAGTGTGAATACAAAATAAACGTTGTTTCTGTACATGACTTGGGCTACATTTAGGTGAGATTTAAGTGATTTGGGGCTATTATTGGAAACCTGAGCAGCACCCCAATTTGAGCTGGAGTCGGAGGAGCATCAGCCAGACACACAAGGGCCAGAGAAGCAGCCTAGAAGGCAGAGCTGGCCCGGAGGCAGAGCAGCAGCAGTGAGTCAGAAGAGCCAGGGCTGGGCCAGAGACAGAGCCGCTGTGTTGAGGCAGAGATGGGAGCAGAGCAGACCTGGAAGATGGGATAGCACAGGCCAGCTGCCCCCATGGGGAGCCACGGCTGAACTACAATGGGGAGCGGAGGGCCAGAGCCATCAAAATGGATGCTGGACTCCCCCGAGTAACATAGCACCCACGCACAATGAGTATCTGGGGAAGCAAGGTGGAGACATGGACAGAGGGCTCTGCACAGGGAGCTATCACCAGACTAAAGGGCTGTGATAGCTGGACTCAGAATGGGGAAGATGAATCTGATGGGAAGGCAAATGCTGAGGAGTTGGGTTTTGCCATCCAGAACATAAGAATGGCCAGACTGAATCAGACCAAAGATCCATCTAGCTCAGCGTCCTGTCTTCCAATGCCAGATGCCCCAGAGGAAATTAATCGAACAGGGAATCATCAAGCGATCCCTCCCCTGTCACTCCTTCCCTGCTTCTAAAAAACAAAGAGTAGGGACACCATTCCTGCCCATCCTGGCTAATAACCACTGTTGGACCTATCCTCTATGAATTTATCTCCTTGTTTTTTTGAGCCAGGTTAAAGTCCTGGTCTTCACAACATCCTGTGGCAAGGAGTTCCACAGACTGACTGTGCGATGTGTGAAGAAATGCTTCCTTTTATTTGTTTTAAGACTGCCACCTATTAATTACATTGGGTGACCCCTAATCCTTGAGTTATGAGAACAAGTAAACAACTTTTCCTTATTTCTTTTCTCCACAGCAGTCATGACTTTATAGACCTTGATCATATTCCCTCTTTGCCTCCTCTTTTCTAAGCTGAAAAGCCCTAGTCTTTTTAATCTGTTCTCAAGGCAGCTGTGCCATATCCCTAATCATTTTAGTTGCCCTTTTCTGAACTTTTTCCAGTGCGAAGATATCTTTTTTTGAGATGGGGCTGCGACGGTGCGTCGGGGACCCCACCGATCCTGCATCCTGTCTGCAACATGATGAGAGTCCACCAGCCAGTAGAAAAGAGGGTTTATTGCCTCTCCAGGATACAGCACAGCATAGACGTTGTGACGTAGTGGGGGTAACTTGCTAGGGCTGTGGTGACCTCTGCTGTCTGTAACAAGACCCAGCAGGGAAAGGGGTGAGTCATTATGCAAAGGGGGCTCCAAACCTGTCTGACCAGCTACCCCCCATGGGGAGAAACAAAGGAAGGTGGAATGCTGCCCTGGCTGGGGGGCAGGGCTGGAAGAGAGGTAGTTAGTCTCTGTCTGGGATCATGGAGGAAGCAGCCTAAGCAACAGGCTGGGGGTTTATAAGCTGAGACCCCCCCACCCCATAACAAGGGGGGCTGAGGCATCCTAGGCCTGCCCTGTAACCAGATAACATCTGTGCTGTGCTGTATCCTGGAGAAGCAATAAACTCCCTCTGACTACATGGCTCCGTCGACGGAGCCATGTAAAGTAGTTTACTTGACATAGTCAATGAAGCAGGGATTTAAATAATCCCCACTTCATTAAAATAAAAATAGCTGTGAAACGAGGTTTACCGGAGCAGTCAACAAAGGCTTCCCTTGTCAACCGCGCTGTGTCTAGACTACCACACTGTGTTGAATCAGCTGATTGTCAGCACAGCGTGGCGGCCATTTTTATTTTAATGAAGCGGGGATTATTTAAATTCCCCCTTCATTGACTACGTTGAGTACACTCCTTTACATAGCTCCATTGAGGAACCATATGGTCTAGACGCACCCAAGCCATCAGGCGCTGGCAGCCTCTCAACTCCCAGCATTCTGCTTAGTCTCTTCTTTTCATGTTTCCCCAGCCAAACTGTCTCTCCCCAAAACTACCGACCACACCTCCCCCAGGCAGCCACACCCCTTCCTTTGTTCAGGTGAGAAGCCCCAGCCGGCCATTGTCTACGTGCTGGAGCTCAGGGTGACCCCCTGCTGGGCAGTGCTCACTGACACAGGCCAGAGGAGTCACCCACAGCCCAAGCGTAGTGACCAGTGAGTGGACAGCCCCCACCCCCACTACATCACAGAGGCGACCACATCTACACGCACTATTCAAGATGTGGGTTTACTATGGATTTATACAGAGGCAATAAGAAATTCTCTGTCTGATTCTCTATCCCTATTTTAATGATTCCGAACATCCTGTTTGCTTTTTTGACTGCCACTGCACACGGAGTGGATATTTTCAGAGCTATCCACAATGACTCCAAGAGCTCTCTCTTGACTTGTCACAGCTAATTTAGTCCTCATCATATTATATGTATAGCTGGGATTAGGTTTT